ACAGATGATGTATGGTGCGAGTTGATTGTTCAATGCAAGCGTTCGAAGGCCTTCGCAGAGCAATGAAATATTGGCGGCGGCTGTAGAAAGGACGACCTTGGGAGGCACAACAGAGACATTTCTGGCGTGCGTTCCATGCTTATCGCAGGCTGTCTAAGCTTTCGGATCTGGTGCAGTCCTGCCTCTTGCGTTGCAAATAAAGTCGGATAGAAGAACGGGAAGTATTCAATGTCTTCCCGTGCGTCTTTTGAGCGCGAACAGACCTTCAGTTGGCTACAATTGTTTTGCCCTTGTATCGAACTTGTTCTGCGACGCGAGAGCCTGCATGCTTATTGAGCAGATCTGCCGGTCCTCTGGCTTTGCGGCGAAGTCAGCTCCCAGCGACGTATGAAATATCAGATCTGGAAGCAGCGGCTGCCTCCGAGCCCATGAAGCGTCAGACAGCAAAACCGATGCAACCAGCATTTCTTTCTAGGACTTCTGTTGTGGTATCGTCATGCTGAAGACGAGTGGGTTTGTGATGTGGGCTGGGCTCACTGACAAATTTGAGACCGACAATCGCGAATCGCGCTAGAGCTACAGTTGCCTCATCCAGCATGGCTCCCGCAAGTTTTTCTCTTACCCGAGCGGGCCTTCGAGCACGACATCGACGCCATGGATGAATTCAAGCTTCCAAGACACCTGTGCGCAGGAAATGTCGCGTGGTATCTTCCTCTATTGTAGCTGTGGCTGACAGCACGCCATCGCACAGACCGACAAGCTCACCTTGACACCTTCCCCAGCACAATCAACATTTTCTAGGAGCTCTTGGATCGCATATGCGAAAGATCCTGACATCTTGCAACCCGTATAAGACTCTTGGAGCCTCAGCAAGATGGAGTCGACTCCTCTCATCTCCTCATCGTCTTCTAGATTGTCCAAGCTTTTCTCTAAGTACGGGACTACCTCTGAGACAAAAGCAGTACCTGCCGACGGCCAGCCTAACGATGACCCTGACGCACCGTCTTTCGCTATCGACAATGATTCTCTCTGCCAGGTTCGCCAGGCAAAGCGCCAGATCGGTGTCACATCAGCTGTATTTCTGGTACTGAACCGCATGATCGGCACTGGTATCTTTGCGACTCCAAGTGCCATCTTCTCCTTGTCCGGCAGTGTCGGCCTGTCTCTCTTCCTCTGGGTAGCTGGTATGCTGATCGCTGCTGCCGGTATGGCCGTCTACCTTGAGTTCGGCACAGCTATTCCACGAAACGGAGGCGAGAAGAATTATCTTGAGTTCGTCTACAGCAAGCCTAAATTTTTGGCTACGGGTCTCTACACTGGTTACGTTGTCCTCCTCGGCTGGGCTGGATCCAACTCAGTTGTGTTTGGCGAGTACATTCTCCACGCCGCCAACGTCAAAGTCAACCGCTGGAACCAGCGCGGTATCGGTCTTGCTTGCATCACCACTGCTTTCCTCATCCACGGTCTGGCTCTAAAGTGGGGTTTGAGGCTCCAAAATTTGCTTGGCATGATTAAGCTGCTTATCATTCTCCTGATTGTGGTCTCTGGATGGGCAGCCCTTGGCGGTGCGATCAAGATTGAGAAGCCCAACAACTTCGACAACGCCTTCGCCGGCACTACTGGAAACGCTTATGGAGTTGTGACTGCGCTGTACAACGTTATCTGGAGTTACATCGGATACAGCAACGCCAACTACGCGCTTAGCGAGACTAAGAATCCTGTTCGCACACTCAAGATCGCAGCTCCTCTCGCCCTAGGAACTGTTGCCATTTTGTACATGTTCGTCAACATTGCCTACTTCGCGGCCGTACCTGCGGATGAGATCATCGCCTCGAAGCGCCTGGTAGCTGCATCGCTTTTCCGTAACGTTTTCGGCCCAAAGGCTGAGCGCGCGCTCTCTGTCTTTGTTGCTCTGTCAGCTTTCGGCAACGTACTCAGTGTCATATTCTCCCAGGGTCGTCTTGTGCAGGAGTTGGGTCGTGAGGGCATTCTTCCCTGGTCAAGGCTGTGGGCAAGCAACCGTCCCTTCAACGCGCCTCTTGCTGGTCTCTTCGAGCACTGGCTCGTCTCTGTCGTCATCATGTTGGCCCCCCCTCCTGGCGATGCATACAACTTCATCCTCAAGTATGTGATTATACCAAGCTCAAAGTGTTACTGTAGACTAACATCCCTTCTCAAGCGTCATCTCATATCCACTTGCCATTGTCAACGTCTTCGTCGCTGCCGGTCTGGCGTGGTTGTACCTTCACAAGGAGGAGTATAACTGGAACCCTCCGATCAAGGCGACGCTACCTGTCACCACCTTCTTCTTCCTGAGCAACGTCTACCTCGTCATTGCACCGTTCGTGCCTCCTAGTGATGGTAACAACGTTTACGAGACTTTGCCATATTATCTTCATTGCGTTGTTGGATTCGGTATCATTGCCGCTGGTGGTGTTTACTGGGTGGTTTGGGCCGTCGTGCTGCCCAAAATCGGAAACTACACGCTTCACCGTGAGGAAGTTGTTGACGACATTGATGGCTGGGAAAGGCATGTCTTCAGGAAGGTTCCTAACTAAGTGTGTATGTGCCGTACGTGGGGCATGGACATACCTTAAACGTCGTAGCGTACAGTACTGATCCGTTTGTTCGGTCAGAAACGCATCAATGACATGCTATAGGTATGTCCATAACGTGAGCACTGGGAAAAACGAAGTAGTGGGAGAGCGCGAACAACGACAACACAGCCGTGTATGCCTTGCGGCTGCGAAATCTGGAGCAGGGCATCAGTTCGCGCAATCGATAAGTTCGCGCTTGCTTTGAAGGTTGACAAACCGTGTTGTGTAGCAAGTGGTAGCTTTCCGACCGGGGGCCTAAATTAGCGGCTGAAACAGGTGGCGCTGTTCCGAAATGGGGGCCAAATGGGCCCTTCCTCAACCACCACGCATAAACCTCCAGCCTTGTCAAGCGTGCTGAACGGCAACTCTCGCGCTCTCTTAAACGGGAGTGACTCCCGTCGTTAGGTCATAGGAACCTCGTCTCATGTACAGTTGAAGACCAAGCGCTCTCTAGTCTGCGCCATTTACTGGTCAAGGATTCTGCCTGAAGCCAAGTTCAACCCAAGCTCAGCCCAAGCTCCAGCCCTGCTGCCAGACGTGCGCTTAAAGCTCTCAGCTTTCGAGAATTGTACAAACTCGGAAACATCAATGCAGGAACGCACATCGAATCTCCAACAGGACCACAGCCACTCTGCGCTAATTGGTCAGATTTTCTCCAGGTACTACCCGAGTGACATTACTAGTTCTATAGGAGGTTAGCAACGCGAGGTGCAAAAGCACTTGTGGAGTAGTAGTCTCGCTTAACGATGCTCTGTGTAGCAACGAGCGACAACCGCAGCGGGAAGCGACAATAACTTTCTGTAAGCCTTGCGCTACGATTGGTCATGCTATCTTGGGGCTGTGGACGCCTATGGAGTATCACCGGTCAGATACCGCTTTTGAAATTGAGCAGGCTGAAAGCTGAGCAACTGACACGGGTCAGAGGTCAGCGCTATCTGTGCTATATAGCCCTTCACGATCGCATCGTCGAAAACCATTATCGTCGTAAACAGATCAAGCTACCACACATTCGTATTGTTCACATCAACCCATCTTTATCATTATGCGTGCCTCAATCATTGCTCTCAGCTTTCTGGCCACCTCCGCTGTGGCAGACAAGCTGGCCTTCCAAAACCTGAGCTTCGGTGCCATGCTGAAGCGTGGAGACATGATACTCAAGCGTCAAGGTTACACTCCAGAGACCGAGACGTGCGGCAGAGGCGAGACGTGCGAAGAGGCTTGCGGAGCCAACAGCGTTGAATGCCCCTCAACTGATAGCACTACACTCTACTGTCATCTCTCAAATGACGGCTCGGTATGCCTTTAATGTGCTGGAAGCGAAGCGGTGTTGACTGTATGCGATAGAAATGCTGTCCGGATGGCTCCGGCAACTCTTGTGACGATGGGTACTACTGTACTTCTGATAGCGACGGCGACACCTACTGCTGCCCGGACGGCTCGGGTATGTTTCCTCGAATGACAGCCTCATCTCGTTGCAAGACTGACGACAAGCAGACACTGCCGGCTGCGCTCAGCAGTACTCCCTCTCCGTCTCCCTCATCCGCCAAACTGCAACTCCTTCACCTTCTGCCACTCCTCTCGACAGCACCGTTCCTGTAGAGATTCCGGTGTCCACTACTGCGCTTCGCATCTCCAGTGCGGAAACCACGTCGACCCGCACAACTGCAGCTGGTACTACCAGCAGGACAAGCACATCAGCAACATCATCGCCTTCCCAGGCTACTGGAGGTGCCGGTAAGGTTACAGGTGCGGGTGCGGCTATCTTGGCTGGCGCTCTGGGCTTTGCAGGATTTCTATGAGCGATCCAGTAAAGCATGTTTGACGTGGCGATCGTTGTCTGGGAAACAGCAACTGCAATGAGAACTACCCAGAGTTTGCCATCAGGGGTTCGTGATCATACAAATTAGTACATGAGGATAGTTATTAGAACACGGGTGTATTGCTCATACTTAGATCCTCAACCTCATAGCCCTTAAAGGCTCAATCTCAATGTGATAAGATTGTACTTGAGCAAATTTCGGTGTAATGTATACAGCCGTGGGTTATTGTCGGCACCCTACGCGTAGAGCGACATTGCAGTAAAAAAAGCAGCAAAGCTCGTCTATCTATTCCTAATATCGACATTCGAGTTCCGCTTAGCTTGATGCTTGAAGCGCCCGTTAGCATCTCATCTCCGCGTCTTGCTTTGAGACCCCATCCACTATAATAGTCAGTCTCGACTTGGATTTTGATGCTTAAGATTGATGTTGTGGCGTTCAAAAAGAACTGATAGGAATCAATGTCACTATCCAAAGCAACGAGGGCAGCAAGTCAACGTTGATGCTCGTGCCCCACCAGCATCGAAACTTCGCTTCCGCCCGCAAAAACAATCGACACCACCATGACAACCTCACGAAGGCAAAATGCATCGGCCGGGAATCGAACCCGGGGCTAGCCGAAACTGGCGACTCGCTGAACAAGTCTTGGCAACGGCTAATTTTACCACTAAACCACCGATGCAGTGGAAGGTGTTTTGCTCTTCGATGAAATGGGTGACCCATAGAATGTATATATCCTAAATACATGGTGTGCGAGGCCATAATCAAGGTTTCTTCTTGCAAACCGAATCGTGCAGCATCATGTTACATTTTTCCAAATGCCAGCGCAGAGTATAGTTGCTAGCGTCTGGAAGCATGTATCCGATCCGAGCAATGCAACCTTGCCCCACCTACGTTGCAAAGTTGTTTCTGTTCACCTACTGTACGATCAAGTGCGAATGTCAGAGAAGTATGGCGAAGTATCACAGACTACCGACTATGGAGGATCGTGGCGGGCCTCAATATATGCATCTGGAACTGACAGTCGCTGGTTGTCATAGCACACAAGGGTCAGACGTGGGTTGGGCGCATGCGCTCCCGATGTCAGTCGCATAAGCGCCAGCCAATCAAGAGACAGAGACTATTCAATGGGTTAGCGCAGTGATACGACTGGTGTCAAATGAGCCTTCGTGTATCATTGTCCTACATCCTGAATTGCTTATGGTCTATCCAAAGTAGAGAACCTCGGCTCGTACATGGCCGATGCAAGAGAGCTGAGCGAGCCGTTGAGATGAGACAAACCTCCAACGTCATAGAAGCTGTCAGACCTCAGCCCAGCCCGCTGAGGTAAGCAAGCCAAAAAGGTACACGACTCGCTCTGATAGCAAGTCCTTGGCTGGAACAGTACTATATCGTCAGCCAGGCAGGCACGCCGGGCCTGACAGAAGCCTCCTACACAACAATTGATGTTCATTTGAATGATCTCTGCGTGTCGCTTGCTGGATATAGTGAACATGAAATACTACTGCAAGCTACAAGACAATAAGAATAAGGGTATCTAGAAGAACAAAAGGGAATAGAAAACAGAGCGAGGTTCAGAGGAGTACAGACGAATACAGAGGTATACAGAGGAATACAGGAATACAGAGAAACGCATCTTATCACGATGAACAGCGACAGCCTTGTCATTCATCGGTAGGAGGATGCAGATTGAGAACTGGACCGCCGATGTTGTCCGAGTACGAGTCTGGGTCCGACTTATGTGTTGGTAGCGAAAGAGATTCGAGACGCGTTGTCAGGTTCGGTATAGGTGAGATTATTGTAACAGGTGGTTTGACACCTTTGCCAACATGCTTGAGACGGTCCACTAACTTCTCGGCAGTCAGTCGATGTTGGGGGTTGATCCGTAGAAGATCGGGAATTGCGTTTGCGATGTCTCTTAGTGGCCTATCGCAACGTTTCTCGACGCTCTTGATCTTGCTGATAACGACTTCGCGGAGTCTGAAGTCGTCTTGAAGAGTCGGCTTGAAGTAGAAGCCTTCGTCTTCGCGTCCTTCGGGCACAACATGACACTCTCGCGCCTCACGAAATTGTCTTAACGACTGGTAGCCTTCTAAGTACCACACCAAAACCTCCAGGTATACGCAACCTAGAGACCAGAGATCATATGGTCGAGACGTCCGTCCCTCTTTCCCAGTGGCTTCAGGCGCTCGGTAAACCGGCGTTCCTGACTTACTTACTGTCTTCCAACTGTTCCTGCTCTTTCCACTAACTGAGGATAGTAGATCATTTACTTTGGCACAAGAAAAATCAGACAGTCGGAGCCAGTGTTTCTTGTTCCCGTTCTGCTCGTAAGGAAACACAAGGATGTTCTCCGGCTTGATATCGTGGATGTAACCTGCTCGTTGTGGTCCAGCTACTGGTACACTCAGCAGTGGCATGCTCTGTACGCTAGGTGTCTGACCGTTGTTGTGAATGGCGGAAAGAGCAGAGGCTAGTCCAAAGAGCTGCTGTGCAAGATCGGTAGACTCCATTGTCCGCAAACGCTGAGCATAAGGGTGCTGCTCCATGAATTTCTCCATATCGCTCTTCGCCTTCTCATAAACCATGTGGTAGCTTGAGCTGAATGTGAAGCTCGTGAGGCATCGAAGAAGGTGTGAGTGTGGAGGTATGCTTGCCATGGCGCGATGGAAAGTGACTTCTCGTGTGCCTTCCTGTCGTGTAACTTTCATCGCGAACAAGTCTTCTTTATTGGAGCCCTGGCAAGACATTAACATCCGACTATTGGCATCATATGACGACTCACACTGCTGAATGATCGCTGGCCAGGATGAATCCAAACCTCATACACGTTCCCAAAAGCTCCCGAGCCAAGTAGAGAACACTCGTCAAAGTTAATCGGCTTCGTAATGCGATTGTCCCACTGATGCTCCGAATCAATCTCGAAGTAAGCTGAATTGAAGCGATTTTGGTTGATGAGGAACGAGTTACGGAATGTGCGTTTACTCTTGAGCCCTGGACATTGGTCTTCTTCGAAGGGAAATTTGGCGTCGGTAAGACCATCATCGAACAGAGCCTGGACGCAAGTCAAAGACATCTCGCTGAAGATACAGGTTGCGAACATCTTCCGGCCTTTAACGAAGACCTCCTGTACAAATTCCTCTTGCGCGTATTGCCCTAAATGCAGCTCGCTGTCCCTTGAAACCAGATTGCGGATTACAGTCTCGGTAGTAATGGTATCGAAGTTTGCTTTTGGTAAGAAGATCTGCTTTTCTTCTCTGAATTTAGTGGTAGCCATGTGCTTGTCCATGTAGTCGAGCACATCATAGAGATTTTCGAGTGATGTGGCGTGGTGCTGGTTGACCTTATCGCTGGCTTGATCGGAAGCCTCGAGAAATGCACCCATTATGCAGGGGCGGTGTTGAGGTATTCGAGGTAGAGGGTAGAATCTTGGGGGAAATGCAGGGTGGCTTCGAGGGCCTCGACATACGTGAGCTACTGATCACCAGGTCACATGTGGGGGCCAAAAGGTGTGCTTGAACCGTAGAATGATCTTGTAGAATGAGCCAGACAACATGGGCGACCCAGTAAGCTTTATCTCTGATCGACACGGAAGGCAGGAAGGCAACCAAGCCACAGTGAACAAACTCGTCGTGTATGCCTCAGGCTGCCCATTCACCTCTTACCGTTCGACCTCTTCAGCCATAAAGATCTAAGCCCCGGTCATGTCCGGTGAACATTCACGCAGAGAAGCTCTGGAGTGGCCAATCCGTGGCGACAATGATGATCGGTTGTGTGGAAGGCAAATGTCATTGGGTGACTCGTGGCAGGAGATAAAGTGCAGGAGGACCGGTCAGGCCTCTTGAGCAGAGGCGGGCTGTGTGAACGATGACATGCCGAGAAGCTGAAGGCGGGGTGCAGGCTGGACCGGGAGCAAGCTAATCCGGGGGAAAGTCGCGACCAGTGACAGGGTGCGGAAGGCGCAAGCGAGGCCAGACAACGGCTCTCGTGAAGCACAGGACGAGCCGAAATGTAAGTTCGCTAGATTGGTACCGATAAAGTGCGCACCTATCACAGCTGTTTGGGCTGATAACGGTTCGTTCATCTTGCCAACAGTTAGTTCTGAGTTAAGAAGCCTTGTTGCACGAGCATAGAGCACCGTGTTACGTAGTGTAATGCAGCCACAGGATCGGCAGATGTACGTTTGATAGGCTAAGGTACTCGCTGCGCCCCACACGTTCAAGTCTTCGCATGATAGCGACATCTGACGCAAGTCATACTGGTGACTCAGCCTTCTTCTTTGCAGATAGTTGGGCAGTGATCAGATTGCGCATGTCAGCCATATGAATCCATGAATACCATACCAGGAATGTGAATATAGTTAGGGGGACTGAGATGGCAAAAAATACCCATGCATTCTGTGCATAGCCCATCTTTGTCGATCTGCCATTAACCTCGATCTGATTGACGAACTGAGTAGAGTAGAAGTTGGAAACGATTGTGCAAGGAAGGTAGATCATCGTGATGATTGTCAGGACTCGCATGCTGGCTGAGTCTTGTCTGTTCTTCTCGGCAATTGTCTGCATGATGGTATTCCCTTCATGAAGAGCACAGATCTGATGGTTGATGTTGTGGCCACTCTGTCTCTCAAGCAAAGAGGAAATCTGCACGTAACAAATCAGCATAAGCGTGGTGGCTACTTGAGAGGCTCTCTGACTCTTACCAATGTTCTTGTGTTTTGAATTTTAGATTGCAGAGCTTCTGCTTTGCGCTTCGTATACGTTATTTCCTTAACCTTCTCTCTGAGAGCGACAGCAATCGCATCTAGAGCACGCATCGGACGCGACTCATCAGAGTCATAGCGAAATCGCTCGTACATCTCTTCGAACGTCGTCAAAGTGTCCATCGTGGACTCGAGACATAGAATGAGGTCGGTCACATCATCCTCGATCTGTTTGAGCTGCTGATGGTCCTCGACTGTTATTGAGACGAAGTTCTCATCATCATCATCTTCCGTCTTGATGGATACACCGATAGCCTTGCCAGACTAAGGGAAGTCAGTAAGTACAGTGTCATCGAGAAGGACCGTTTACCAGATCGGATACTACCTGCGATATGTAGACGAGGTACGGTCTCCAACTAGCAATGACTGTGTCCAGGAAGATGGCATGTAGTTCGAACGGATTCGCTCCTACTATGTCATCTACACTTCTGGTGTATTGATCGATGTGCCCTCGGGTTCGTTGTGATGCTCCTACAAGGATCCAGGTAGAGCATCCTTGCTGTCCGGGTTTGAAGCGATGGTAAATGCCATACTGGCGTAATGACCATGGCTTTTTTCGACCGCCGCGGTCCGTTTTCTCGACATACCTCAGGATGTAGGCGCATTCTGGGATCAAGTCAGCTTCCGAGAGCATTTCAATAGGATGAACTGCACTTTTAGCTTACCAAAAGCGCGGTACCCACTGTCATTGGCCGTATACAGTGGACGAAACTTGAGGGGAGGAGGTCCGACCTCTGATTCACTGTTCTTTCGACCGAAACCAGTCACGTATTCATTGAAACGTGGAAACACATGACAGGACCGCATGAGTGTTTCGAACCCAGATTTCGAGATTCGCAGTCGGCTGAATGAGTGCGTTCGTTGTTGTAAATAGAAAACCCGGAAGTCGTGTTTCGTGCGGTGAGCGAAGGCCTCGATAT